CACCAAGTTCCTTTTCAACATCTTCTGGTAAACGATAATGATCAGTATAATGTAGATGTACATCAAATGGTTTAAGACGCTTAAGAACAGCCTGACCAATTCTACCACCAGCTACAGTACCAATATGCATACCTTCAATATCATATGATCTACTAACACAATCAGCTATATTCCAACCACCTTCAATAACTGTCTTATAACAAGGTATATAGTTACGTACTAGACTTAATATAAGCATCACGACATGTTCACTGACTGATATGGAATTAGAATAGGTAACCTCAGCAACAGTGACATTATTCTGTGCAGCAGCTTCTAGATCAACATGATCAGATCCAATACCAGCAGTAATACATAGTTTTAGCTTGGGTGCCATCTTGAAACGTTTCTCAGTCATATAAGCTGGCCAAAATGGTTGACTTATGATTACAACTGCATCTGATAAATGCTTCTCGAACTCACAATCATCACCATCTTTATCAGATGTTACTATAAACTCATAACCATGATCTTCAACTAACTGACGTATACCAAGTTCACCAGATACACAACCAAGTAGAGTACCAGGTTTAAAGTGTATACCTTTAGGAGTAGGTGTTGTCTGCCCACCTGGATAGGTACTTATATTGGGTATATCATCACGGGCATATTTAGGAGGATACCCATCTATAGGATCATTATACAGCACACATACGACTTTACCAAGAGTCATCTTTCCACCAGCAGCAGCGATCATGAACATACGCATGTACACCATCATATGGCAGCGGTGGCGACCGCCATAATAATCGACAACTTGCAGCAGCGTCGTCGTCGTCGGCGCCCATCTTCGAGCTCCGTATTGTTTCCATAAATTGCCCCCTGTAATGAAGGTAGCTTTAGAGTCCACTAAGAGCCAGCAACAGCAGCAGCAGCATGGGATGGTCTTTTTCTTCTTCCTTGCTTATTCCATGATGATAATAATAAGGTAATGAGTGCCCTCCTCCTCCTCCTTCTTCTTGACTCAGTGGTACATGTTTCTACTGGCCATTGTTATCAGTCTATCCCTTAATGGATGTTATTCCTATGGTGGGCTTAAAGTTAGAAGACCACATACATCACACATAATATTGGGAAAGGGACAGGAGGCAGCAGCAGCAGTAGCTACTATAAAGCGAATAGTGAGTTGTTATTATTATTATTCAGAATCATGATAATTATTGTTATGGTGAAGTATTTGGTATGGATATTAAATTCAATAAAGTATTTGGTAACATCTATGAGGGTGTTGAAGTCCAATGTGGTAATAATCATTGGGTTAAGCTGAATGATGATGATATACTGGCTTATCCTATTATGAGGGATTATCTATTACGTAATAATAATACTATTATCATACATACTATTCTGTGATTGTAGATATTGAAGATGTACAGAGTTGTAATGATATATATAATAAGATTCAACAACAGATAGTCTCAATACCAACACCACAGATCTATCATCAACTTGAGGTAGGTATAATAATATTGAGTTATCATCACTAGCAATAATGTAGGTAATGTTTAACATGATGGATAGTATCTGTAATAGTAATTCTATATTACCCCCATACTATGATCCATTATGTCATATTAAACTACCATATACGGATGGTGAAGTGATATTGAAATACTCTAATAGTAATGGTGGATATATGTTCGATAATGGTGTATGTTATAATACTCCTATCGATGGTAATAAATTTATTACATATTCACGTATAGCTAAGAAGAAGAATTCCAATACCGCTGATATACCTACTGAGTATATGGGTAAAGCTATGACTTGTGCAGTTATTAGGAATACTATTAATGTATCTATGATGGGAAGTATGATGGTATTGAATAGCAGACAAATGGAAGGTATTTGTTCTAAGATTAGGATGTAGATGTATACATGTTCATGTGTTGTAATAATGTATGTCGTGTTAGAGTATTAAGACATATAACACAACATATTCCAATTAAGTATTAGAAGGTTTAGATGGTAATGCTGCCGGACCAACTACTCTCCGTTTCAATGGTAAGTTTGTCGATGATATACGTTGTCGTTTGTGGTAACCATCCATAGTAACTGGACCAACCCGTTGTTTATTATATGTTGGAGATATAGATACATAGTCCTTGGTAACTATACAGAATATATGCTACTTGTTGTTAGTGGTGGTGGTGGTAATAGTGATCCTACTTTGTAATTCCTTGGATAATTTAATGAGCTGTTTTTCGAATGATTGATTAGGTGAAGCTTCGGGTCTTGCTTTCTGTACTGCTTCTAATGCATCATCGTATGTATATCGATAATATCTATCACATTCATTATGATGATGATCTTGGTAGTAGTGATAATAGTATGTATATTACTTTATTAGATAGCTTATAATGATACTAACTGATCTAGATTGACCCCAATTACAATGTACGAGTATCTAATAATAAAACATGTATAAAGCTGTTGTTATAATAT